CCGCAACCCGATCCAGATCCGCACCCGTCCACCGGAAGAGACAAAGGAGAACCAATCAAAGAGCAATAGTTAGTCAATACCCACAGAATTAATGTTAATATGAAACTGTGCATTTGCGTAATACGGCGCGATGACAAAGGATATTGTCGTTGTGAGGCGATGCGCGACAGAGAGAAGTGCCTGGTTGTAGACATATGATAGCTTAGCAGAAACTTTAGCATTTTGTACTATATAGCACTGTTTTATTGCAGAGATACCTTGATATTCCTTATCGTAATTATTGTATATGTCAGCGATATCAGGGAACAGTAATAGCATAGGACTCAAGGGGTATTACTTGCTGTCGATCATATCACCCACAAACACCTTTCAGCAAAACGACAATGATGATTGAAGCACATAAGATGCATTGAAATAAAAGGTCATTTCGTATGATACAGATCATTATCATGGTGGTATCCATACACATTTTTGATGCGGATAAGTTTGTTTTCAACTTTATAATGGAAATATCCTAACAACCCTCTCAATAGCATCCCCACTTAGCAATATTTCTGAGTTGCTACGGAGTTATTGGTTAATCGCCCAACGATTAAGCTTAATTGAAATTGTCATCTTACAGTTTAAGGATCAGTGTTCAATTTCTAGATTATACTGTAAATGTGTAATATGTAATTTTAGCATGGTACCAACGCGTAATCAATATTATCAATATCTAACCTATTCTTCGCTCAGTTATCGTAACTGACAAATTACCGTCTCAGCACATTCCACATCCACATATTCTTAGTAACTTACGTATTGGGAAATCATATGATTCGTCGATCATTCCATTTCAACGATCAAAAATCTACTGACAAAGCGGGCTCTTCAGAGATGACGAATACTTTGCTATGGTTGGAGTTACAAGAAGATTAAGATATTCGATTACGGTAGCAATCCGCCTAGATGACGAACATCAGTTGGTCGATCAATTATTTACAAACGACATAATAAACGAAGATGATGGCCAAGTGGAACACATACTCCCTCTTCTTCATTGACGTATTGCAATACATCATTCAGCTTTATTGTCTATCCTAAAAAAAGTCATCGAAAATTTTTCAAGGGGAACTCGTAAAGTGTTATTTGCAACAAAACATTTCGAAACGGGTTTGAAGATACTACAAAGAATTCAGTAGTGTGATATTTAATTTCTGGAGAGAGGGGAAGTATGATGACTCACGGCAATGTAAGGTATCAATAGTTGTAACAGCCAATACTAGCACTGGTACAGGACGTTAAGCTATAAATAAATTTATACGTCTTCTACATATTATACTTTAACCTATTGGTCCAAAGATCCAATAGTGCACTGAATGTCGAAGCGCAATGATTGATTGTCTTTAGGTGATTAGAGGCGGTTTGTATTATCTTCCATCCTTAAAGATCCCATACTTTAAAATGAGAACCACCTGGACAAGTAAAAGATTTTGATGATAAGTATTAAGGCTGAAAACCTGATATAATGCGGATTCAGAAATCTGTTTACCTGCTTATATATCACTCTGAGAAACATCAAAACGTCTTTGGGTTTCATCATGTGTACGTCTATAACTTAACTGTCTCATTGAATGATTGGACAGCAACGGATTCCAGTTATTTTTATAAAATAATACTGCACCGTCCTGTGAAAATGAGAGAAAGCAATGAAGTGTTATCGATATGACATCCTCAAAAAGGCATAATTCTTAATTGACATATACCTGACATTCATCAAGCAAGCTATGCGTTCCCCCATAGGATTTCACTTGAATTGATGATGATGTTCTTGTTGTCAATGCGAGGTAATCTGTAAATTGATATTCATCCATAAGAATGAATCTTTAGCATTCAAACGGCTTTACAAACCTCTCTTTACTTACAAGTATATCGAATATTGTTTATAGAATATGTCAGGGTCACAGGACCAGGAATCACTTCCTTACGTCCTGGCTCGATCTGAAGTGACCGTCCTCCTCCATCCTTGAAGTCTAGCACAACTTCACCGTTGTTACGAATAACCAAATAATCACGCAAAAGCATTCCCATATGCTATCAAAGATCAGGATGAATTAACGAAAGAAGAATGAAATTAACGTAAATTTGATGCAACATACTCGATCAATAGTGAACCTCACTCCAACGCCGTTGAGTTTCTATAATAAAAACGATCAATAAATATGAATGGTTGATGATTGATGTCTTTACGATATAGTGAATTCAAAACATGCTGACAAACTCACAATATTCACATCTTCCCCATTCCCTAAACAACATGACGTCTCTATCTGCTTCTCAAGACATTTACGTATTATTTCCAGTGCTGATCCCTCCTATATGGCAGTAATATAAAGTATTATAACAAAGGCTTTCAACGGCGAACGTTTAGTATACATACTTTGCATCTCTCCCTGTGTATTTGAAGGAGTTCAACAGACTTTTCATCTAATTGTCTGCCAAGGTAGGAACCAAAACGACGGATTATTTGTTCCGCCGCCTGGCCCTCCTTTTGGCAACCTACAAATTCTTCCAACAAATCTTCATACATGTTAAAGGAATACCTAAATAAAGGGATATAATTTAATTTGGAAAAAAACGAGTAAATACTTAATTATTAGTGTATGAGAATCAGACTTTTTATTGAACTCTAACGCTGAAGACGCATCAGTCGCAAACAACAAACAACACACTGCGAACAAGTTCTCGTCCTGAACGCTTTGTATTACAAGAGCAACTTTCTTATACATCAAACGGGTTAAATTTGAGAAAAAAAAAAACGTGGTTCCAATAATCAGCATCATATCCTATCAAACCAAAGTTTGCTCATTGAATGGAGTCAGTTTCGACTTGGAGCCAAGCATCACTGTACAGACACTCCCTCTGCAGAATAAGTATGTCTGGTTCTGATCTGAACAGTACAGCGACAACATAACCCACACATTGCAACTAACCACAAACCATAAACAAACTGAAGTAAGGCAAGAATGTACCTGCGTGGAAGGTCACTACTAAATTGATCTAATGTCAATGCTTATTCTTGCTGTACATACCAGTAGGAGCAAGCGCGATCAGACGCGTTTCAAACCTGATCAGATGATCATCTTGATCCTTATTATTATAACATGTGATTCAGCATTTCCAGTTTTATTGGTTGTTGGATGATTCGGAAATTTTTGTTACATTTTTTGTCACTTAACCTTGATATAGATGTACTCGCGTGATAATGACTCTCGCTCCTGTACGAATTGATACATTGTGGAGGCTTGAGACAAGCGTTTAAAAGAAACAAGTCTTGTAAGCAAAAACCTCTATAACAATGTCAACTGTTAAAGCTTGCGACTCTTTGATCATATCAATATTTCTAATTACCAGTAATAATGTCCAGTGGCAATAGCTCTTTCCACCGAGCGGCATTCTTGTCTACACTACCATCTGCTAAGGTTATTAATGCGAGAAATAATTGAAGTTCTTATTTATGTTCTAACATAATAAACGCTCATTCATGTTGTGAAGTTGGAGTGGTCGATAAACCGTGTTGTCGTTAAGAGTTGAGTTCGTTGTTTGATGGTGACTTGTTTCATGCTGTATGTACGTAATATAGAGTGACGACGGTGAATTGTGTATTAAACTTTTGGAGGAGGAGACGCGTATTCACGTTTAAATGACGGAAGATGACACATGTTAGCTGTTGTCTACGCAAGGGGTGTGAGAACATGACGTCGCGACTGTCATAATTGTTTCTGTAAACAAGAACAATAGTATCAGTGTAGCATGCTGTACAATGAGATAATTTATTATCGATAACGATAAGCCACCTGTACACCCCTGAAAATAATCACCTTCTCGCCATCAAAAACTACAGGCACGCAATTATTATCTGTGTGTAACATTTAAGTTTGAGCATAAATTAAGTTTTCTACCCACTGCAGTCATATGTTCGTAGAATTTTTGATGGGGGGTAGTTTATTTGTTGTAATTATATGAAAGTCGTGACCATAAATTATGTCACTGGTCGTCAGTCCGTGATAATTACAAAGTCTATGATTTGTAAACCAGTGAAAAAATTCTGCAGCATGTGTTACATAGATACATATTGTTTTTGTTTACGGAAACAATTATGACAGTAGCGACGTCATATTCTCACACCCCTTGCTGCGTAGACAACAGCTAACATGTGTCATCTTCCGTCATCTAAACACGCAAGCACGCGAATACGCGTCTCCTCATACACGTCTCCTCATACACATATATATATCATCCACCCCCCCTCTTCTCTTCCAAAAGTTTAATACTCCACCGTCGTCACTCTATTTACGTACATACAATATGAAACCAGTCACCATCGAACAATGAACTCAACTCTTAACACTCAACAACGACAACACGGTTTATCGACCACTGGCTTCTCATATACCGTTTTACACATCACTTCACAACAACCGCTACTTCAAAGCAAAAATACGACAATGCATAACGAACAACGAACCCTTGTTGCCACTCTATATGACACACATACAACTGTTCGTTGTAACTCACAAAAGAGTCCTCCGACGAACAGTTTACTGATAAAAGAGTTTGAGACACGTCACACTTGGACGCTTCTCTCTATTGCGCATGCATCGCTTAACAACAATATCTCCGCCAAAACGTGAATACAACGAAATTTTCTAACAATGACACGGTTATCGACCACATAAGCGATGAAAAACTTTGAACACGCGTACGCTTCTCTCTATTGTGCATGTATCGTTTAACAGTAACGTCCTCCTCCAAAGCGCAAGTACAAGAAGAATTTTTTGCGCTGTTCCATATGACACGACGGTTCTTTAAATCCAACGAAACAACGACACACAACACATAGTGTTTGGATATCGACTGCTTACTTATGTATATACTCAGACCATTGTATGTGCATTGCGTAACAATCTCTCTTCATCCAAGCGCAAATACAACAAGCAATCTTTTACGGCACTGCGATCGATCACTAATTGACGAAAGAGTTCATACCTATACACCCAGGCACTTCTCTATGTCGCGCACCCATCGCTTAGAGCGTAAATACAACAATATACTTTGTCATTATGCCGCATTACACAAATACACAGCTTCAAATTAACAATTAATTCTATGGGTAGATAAAAATAATAGTAATAGTATCGACTAACTATTGCTCTTTGATTGGTTCACTAGGTGGCTGCTCTCCTTTGTCTCTTCCGGTGGACGGGTGCGGATCTGGATCGGGTTGCGA